CTATATGCAATGTACTTAATGGTTTTAAATTTTAATCTTATATTTTAATAATAGGACTGTATTTTATTCCATTGCGGAAGACCACACATTGAGTATTGGACACTGGACCACTCTAGGTCTTAAGCTTGCAAAGAAAAATCATTTACTACTTCGTCGTATTACAGATGTGTTATATTATTATAATATATCATAAATAATTATATACTTTACTTACAAGATTTTTAGGCTAGGCAAATACACGTCAAACAGCAACGATGAAATCACCTTCAGGTTYGGAGCGCTATGAATAACACTGGAACAGAAATATAATTTATAAATAACATTTATCATCACGTTTTTTTTTTTTTTTTATTGTAGTATTTGGCATTGAGAAATCATTATACGCATATTTAATAATTTTTAAAAACAAAAGTTCCTGCTGTATAGTGTGCGTTATCCGCTGAATTTCTTTAATAAAGTGGGTTAAATGCCTATGTATATTATGTAAGTATATTATGACATTTTTGAAAAATGATAAACATTTTGTTTATAATTATTCTAAAATATAATGTTTCTTTTGTTCTGGCCAAAACATATCAACAATTTGATTTATTTTTTATGCAAATCAACTTGTGAAATGAAAATTTTTTATGAGAAAATTCGATTAATGTTGCATATTTATTTAATTTCTATTAAATATTTGAATATATTGCCTTTTTACCTATATATTATGATTCAAAGCGCTTAAAAATTTGAAATATTAACAGCAAGTACTATTTTGAAGCTTTGTTTGCGGGGATAATTCAACGAACATTCACATAAATATCTAATATTTGTAATACTTTAAAATTGTTTGAAGACACTATTTGAAAACAGTCGTAAAAATTACACTCGTGTTTATAYTACCCACTCAATTCATTTTGATTCTAAACCAAGTCAAACTAATCAATCTAATATTTCACTTTAGTGTTATTTTTATTGATTCAGATTCGAAACAAGAATGCTATGAACAATTATTCTTATAGGTACTTCATAAAAATATCCATCTTTTATATGTTAATTGTGCCTTGTGTGTAAGTTAGTAAGTACTGTGTATAATTTAAATATAAAACATTATATTTGAAAACAAACTCTAAAAATACTCAATTTAAGTAGTTTAAAACGTATCTTTTATGTTGCAGTTGAAAAATCGCCATTAATTAAATTCATATCGATTTATGTCCAAAATATAAGAAGTAAAACTGTTCTATTATTTAAAATGTATGTCCACTTTAGGCACAATGATTGATTACGGCTATTATCATAAAAAAAATCTTCCTTTATGTTAAGATGCAACATACATTATATGAGGTTAATCTAAAACTCCTTTGGAAACCCTTGTCAAAATGCCYGTCACGTCTGAAATGATTTCCTAGTCTTTCTCTGCATATAAGGATTATAAATACCAAATTACCCATGACCACTGGTTTTAATTTATGTTATATTAATGCATAGTTTAATCTAAATTACTCACACCTATGACCTATATGATAATAACATTTTACTGAGTAGAAATAGAAATCATAAGTTTAATAATATTATAATGCAGATTAGGTCTTSATKCCCATTTATTAGGAAATCAATAAATTTACATTTTTAGATACCTACACACAATGTGATAGGTTAGGTTAACTTATATTATTATTTATTACCTATACATACGATTTTCTCAAA